AGTGACACCCACATGTCCATTGCCAATTTCATGACCTCCTCACCTCCTACTGTCTCGTAGAGAAGGTGGTGGAAACTGTTGCCCGTGCACATGAGGATCACACCCTTGGCTCGGGTGTTTGCCTTTTTGTAATCCGCATCCTTGAGATCACCGGCCTTGAGAGCCTCATCGGCTTCAATAAACATTGGGTAGCCGAGCATCTGGCTCGACCACACCTTATAGTCCAAGGACTTTTTGAGGACAGAGATACTGTCAGCCTTCATGTCCGACATTGTGGATGTAAGAATATGAAATTCGAAGAAGTCTGAGACTTCTTCAGGAACAGAGGGAGGTGGTAAACTTTCAAGAACGTAAGCAAGGTCAGGAGATAACCTTGATTTCTCTGCTTCTTCTTGAGACGGTGCTAGTAGTTCCTCTATGTCGTCTTCCTCGAAGAGATTCGATAGATCTGACGGTAAAGTAGTAGGAACAAACGATGGAGATAGGTTTATGGGAGAAACTTCAGGAGTAGGAGAGAACACTCTAGAGCCTGGGATAGATGGAGACCCGTACTCTGGGATAGATGCAAGATGCTGAGGTTCAGGTTCAGAACCCTCAAAGAAGCTTGTAGAAGCAAATTCAGAATAAGTGTTGGTCTCTTGCCAGTTATTAACTGGTATGCCCCAGTCAGTGCCTTTGGCAAATGGACCGGACCACCTATTCTTACAGACTACTTCTTCACACAACCAAAACTCGTATTCAGTTTCTTCAGGTCGTCAATGATAGTCTCTTCTTTCTGTGAAGTTGAATAGGTGCTGTTGACCTGTGCAATCGAATGGAGTTTCTTCTGCTGTTGCTTCTGATGCTTCTGCTTCTAAATTCTCATCTAGTGAATGCTCAGATGAAGCCACATGGGCAAGCTGAACACTGGAATCACACGATCATGGAAAAGGCTACGGCTATGCTTCACCATGCTGGTCTTAGTCACAGTTTTTGGCAACTTGCGGTTGATACCGCTGTCCATATTTACAATCGCCAGCCTATGCGACACCTTAAATGGCAATGCCCAATAACTCTCTGGGATGGCACGATCCCAGATATTTCATACTTCAGAGTATTCGGTTGCAAGGCATTTGTGCATGTGCCAAAGGAATGAAGACAAGGGAAACTCGACAAGAAGGCAGTCGAGATGATCTTTGTTGGATATGAGCAAGGCTCCAAGGGCTACAAGTTCTGGGATGCCTCCAGTTGACGGATTGTTGTGTCTTGTGATGTGACCTTCGATGAAGATTCCTTTCCGGCACGTAAAGATTTGGCCAATCCAAAGACTCTGGGGCCACCAATTTTCGATCCTGTAGACTCTGATTCTGAGGATGATGACGAGGAACAGATCAAAATACTGTTTCCTCCACCGGTAGAGAGCGAAGATGTTCATGAGGACATCGACGAACTGGAACCAGTGGGAGAACCTGAGAGACAGCTCACTGAACCTGCACAACGTCCACAACCTGTTCAACCTCCTCAGCCCGCATATGCTCGCCCTTGTTGTGAGAATGCTGGGAGGAACCCAAACAGGAATAGGGACAATGTTTATGGTGATGAGCCTCTGGCTCAGATCGACTGTAGAACTGATACTCATGGAGATCAGTGCACGGAAGTGTTTATGATTTTGCAGGCTCTGAAGGAAGCCAACTACTCTGAGTCAGTTCCTACCTCGCATTCAGACACAAGGAAATCCCCTGGGACCACTGGCACGCTGCTGAAGGCTCTGAGATGAAGTCTCATGAGCAAAATGGCACCTGGATCTTGGTTCCCCGTCCCAAGAACAGGAAGATAGTCAAAAATAGATGGGTGTACGCCCGAAAGCATGATGGCCGGTACAAGGCCCGGTTAGTAGCCAAGGGCTTCACTCAAGTCTGGGGTGAAGACTACCATGAGACATTCTCACCAGTCGCTCGTTTTGAATCACTTCAATATATGTTTGCACATGCTGCACTCGAAGACTGGGAGATGGACTCTATGGACGTCAAGACAGCATTCCTCAATGGTGAACTCGAAGAGCAAATATACATGGAACAGCCTGAAGGTTGGGTAGTTCCAGGCAAGGAGGATTGGGTCTGCCTCCTCAAGAAGGCCATCTATGGTCTCAAGCAAGCATCACATCAATGGAACACTAAGATCTGGTCTTAAGCAAGTGTCTTGTCAATGGAACACTAAGATCCATAGAACTCTTTTGAACCAAGGGTTCATACAGACATATTCGGATGCCGGAGTTTACGTTTACTCCAGTAAAACCAATGGTCAAGTCTGCTACGTAGTACTCTATGTCGACAACTTATTACTTCTTGGTGATTCTAAGTCATTCATTGAACAAATAAAGAATCATCTCAAGAAGGAATACCAGTTGACCAACCTTGGACCAGTAGAGTGTTTTCTAGGACTTAGGAATCGTTGTAATCATCAAAAGCAACAGATCTTAGTTGATCAATCTGAATACATTCAGACCATTTTGGAGAGGTTCCAAATGTCTAATTGCAAGCCTGCAAAGACACCTCTACCTGCTGGTTCAGTTTTGGAGAAAAACATGGAAACTGCAACGGATGTGTTCCGTACTGAGTACCAGAGCATCATTGGTAGCATCATGTATGCTATGCTCAGTACACAGCCTGATCTCACTTTTTCCATAACAAGACTCGCCAAGTTTGCCTCGAACCTGTCAAAGCAACACCTGCGCCTCGCACAGTATGTCTTGTGCTACCTTAGTGGAACAAAGGACTATGCGCTTTGTTACGATGGTGATTCCAACTCCGGGTTAATTGCCTATTCAGACTCGGACTGGGCAGAAGATCACGACAATAGGCACTCCACAAGTGGCTTTGTGTTCCTCATGGCCAATTGTGTTGTTTCTTGGGTTTCCAGATGCCAACCCGCCATTTCCCTCTCTTCAACAGAAGCAGAGTACAAGGCAGCCTCTGATGCATGTCGTCAAATGGCTTGGCTTCGGAACTTCGGACAAGAGCTCAGTGACAACATGACCGCTCCTACTCCTTTGTGTCTGGACAACCAAGGAAGCATTTTCCTTGTGGTTAATCCTGCCATGGACCGCTGCACAAAACACATCAAAATTTGGTATCACTTCATTTGAGAATTCTATGAGAAGGGTGAAACTGACATCTTCTTTGTTGCGAGTGAAGACCAGCTTGCAGATGCGTTGACCAAGAATGTTCCTCTCTCTGGAATAGAGAAGCTTTGAATGTCAACTGGCATGGTCATAGCGTCTTGAACAAGTGGGAGTGTTGAACTTCTACTATTTCATACATTATCTAATCAGGTTCTCCTGATAAGGACTTATCTTGTGTTCTGCTATGCTACTATACGTAGACTACATTCCTTTTGGTTCTTATCTATAGATAGCTTATACCAAGTTCCATTTGGCATTCCACTTGGTATCCATTCGGTACTCCATTCGGTATCGGAACTCCGCTCCCTTGTCATATGATATTGACGGTTATCTATAGTTCCGTTAACCGTCTTACTAATGCTTACTCATGAAGCTTACAATGATGACTCATGACTCAGGCCTCATCTGATAGGCATACTGTATGATCACATAATGCCTTCCTCTCATGTATATATACTGGGCTCAGATGCCCTCTAATGTAATCATTCCTTCCTCTGCTTTCCTGTGTGCCTAACAGGACTCCCTCTAGCAGCTTCCCTCATAGGTTCATTCACTAGCCTTTACAGCCACTCCCTATCACTCCTTTCAACAAGTGCCTGATGTCACCACTGTATGATGTTGCCTTGGCCCCTTAAGTATGGATGGTAAGCAATGGTCACATAACTCAACAGAGATAAGAGAATGGGAAACATCAGGTAAGATATGCTATACAACTCAGATGTAGCATACATGCTCATACAATGTGAGATCGGACAAATGCACTTCTGGTGATGTACCATGTTCCATGACTTGCCCTCTCTCTGGAATATATGAGGCCCCGGGCAACTCCCCCAGGACTTTGCCCAAAATTTTGGGCGAGAAAATGGACTTAACTATGTCTATGATAGCATTATTATTGGTAGCAGAATGCCCTAAGCGCCCGTGACTATGTCCAGATAGCGCTATTCACGATCACCCCATCTTGATACCACCTCTTGTACGTGCACTACGGCGGCGCCGCTTGATAGGTATATCCATAACGATTGCCCTACAGGGCTTGGCGCAAGCTTCACGGCTAGCGAGAGATGGAAATAGATGGAAACCGTAAGTTTTATCCTGGTAGTGTTTGTCCGAAACAAGGCCAGTCGCACCTATGTTGGGGAAGTCCTCGACCTTTTGAAAAGGGTGAATAAGCGGTATGCATCACTTGAAGAGTCTGAGGATGGTAAAGGTGTAACACATCTATCACTGACTGGGTACCTTGAACTCGGAGTAAGTCCTGTAACAAAAGATCTGATTGCACCCACCTAACTCACCAGGTAGGTTGACAAAGACTCGGCAGATGAGTACTATGATGAGGATCCCAACGAATTGCCTTCCATGCCAACTTTCACATGCATAGACAAATGTCGCAACCGCGAAGGCTATCTTCATGCTCATGCTTGTATGGAAGATGTTGTCTACCATTTCGGTCTAGGGAAGCTTGTTGGGCCGCCACTTCATAAGATGTTCACCAAGGATGTGGCACAGCAGTGGCAGCACCTTAACACAGGTGCTGTCAAGTCTCTGCTACATTGGGGGCACCCAGGGCCTTGAGAGATGATAGTTTATGTATGTCAAGAGCTATCATATGTTGGTGTACTACTCTACGAACCTCGAGAGCTTGAGTGGTAATTAGACGTGACAAATGCTGTGACAACTTGTTACAAATGTGTGACTTGTCACCAACTCTGTCCAGGATAGCGCTATATAGCCCCGAAAAAGAGCATTATTTTAGCTAAATCTGAGGGTCCGAGCGGACAAAGTCCTGGGGGAGTTGCCCGGGGCCTAATATATAAGATTGAAATGCTTATGTCATGTCGGCTCAATGGTCTAGTAGTATGATTCGTGCTTCGGGTTATCCCCACGTGATTATATTACGTAACAAATTGCACGAGGTCCCGAGTTCAATTCTCGGTTGAGCCCTTTGATTTTGCTTTTGAGAACGTTGTCAGCAGTGCAAGGCGCGCTGTTGAGAACCATAACTGCCCAGGTTTTTACCCAAGGGGACCGCGGCCGCCGGCTGCAGTGTTGCGGTGGTTGAGATAAGATAAGATGCGATTGGCGTCTATAGTCCACGCCGCATTCGAACGTCATGGCGGGGCTGTCGATCCTCAAGTACATACTCGGTTTGCCTTCGAAGCAGCCGTCTTTCCTCCCCCTCCCATGCTTCACCATCCTGTCACCAAACATATCACGAGAAATGCCGCAACAGGATCTATACAAAGAATAGCTGTAGGTGTCCAGCGTGCGCTCATCACACGACGAACCAATGGAACTGTGGCTACTGCATGCCAAGACGCGACAGCACAGTCTAACGAGGTGCGTCCTAGCTCCCTGGCAGCGTATAGCCTTATTCACTTGACTCTCATTCCAGCGACACGAAGGCTGTGTGTTTGTTGACTCCATCTTCCCACTTCGCCTCGGGGTCTGGGAGTGAGTGGTGTGTCTATTGAGATGTCTCAACGTGTTTCTGAACATTCTCAGCATCCGTCGCTACGTGAGCTACTTTCGGAAGGAGACCCTTATCGACCAGCTCCACTCCCTCTTCACCAATTCTCAAGACTACGGCTTCAACATCATCGCAGTGGAGCCGCACGAGAAGGACGGCGGCGTCTTCATCCGTTTCTCGTATGACGCGACGGCAAACACCGAGCAGGATGTCTTGCAGAGGCTCAAGGAGCTGGCAGCGAAGCATGGCGGCATACCCTCGTGGAACGGTCTGTTGGGTGGGGACATCTGGCCTGTCAAGGGTAAGCCATGGCGAGAGGTGCGTGCCAGAGGCCAATGGACGAGCATTCGTTCTCACTCCGTCTTTGAAACTGCCAGGACATGGATCACTTCCCATCCCCAATCATTCGAGTCTCGTTTGATGGCCCGGACGTCCGCGAAGAGAATCTCTATGAGCTGCTCCGCGTACGCACAACCTCCTCTTCCACGTTGGCTTAGCTCGCTCATCCGGCTCCAGCCCTACGGCCGCATACAGGACCTCTCGCAACCCACGCCGCCGCCCGTCGCGGGCGGCCTGCGCTTCTCCACCGTGACCTTCAGCCGCATGCGCTCCGCCGCGATCGCGCGCAACTCCGTGCACGGCCTCGCAGTACAACCGCCGTCGTCGTCCGCGAAGACGATCTTGCGGACGACGTACCAGGCGCCGGTGCAGGCCCACGCCGTGCGGGACTATATCGGGAGTCATCCGCGCATATTTCTGCCGGTGTTGTTCTTCTTGCTGGGGACGCTGACGTACACGGTGCGTACTAGCTCCATATGTGTACCACTCCAGCAACCTTACTGTTGTGAAGATATTTGACCCAATCCGTGTCCTCTTCGTCGAAGGCACACTCGAGGGTTGGTTCGACATCAAGCGTATGTAGCACTCTCCCTTGATTGATGCCTGGCACTGACAGAGAAGCCCGACAGAGTTCCAGGTTTATCAGTGGTTCCGCAACACTGCCTTGCCCAAGTTCTCTTTGGCAGCGACCCCCGATGACGAGGTAACACGCACACCAGCGCGGGATGTATGGAAGGAGCGTAAGGACGCAGAGACAACATTGGAAAGATATCTCAATGATATGCCCAGTACGCACCCTTACTCTTTTGAGAATCGCTAGCTTATGCTTTATGTGTAGATACGGTCGCATTTGTCTATGGGCCTCAAGGGAGTGGCAAGACCACTATGATATCAACCCTGATCAAGCAGTCCGGAAGGTATGTGTCGATACGGCCCCGCGCGAAGCATGTACTTATGTGTTTGAGGACAGGAAATCATTGGTCATTGACGTGAGAGAGCTCTCGAAGACGACATCCGACGCAGCGCTCCTGTCGTCCCTCGCTCGCCAGACAGGCTACTGGCCCGTCTTCTCCGTCTTCAACTCGCTCAACAACCTCGTCGATCTCGCTAGCGTCGGTCTCATCGGACAGAAAGGTCAGTCCCCAATCACTTCCCTGGACCCTTCTCTAACTATTCCCGCACTGCCCAGCTGGCTTCAGCACCTCGCTGAGCGAGCAGCTTACGCAGATTCTTGAAGTGGTCGGCACGGGGCTCGGACGCGTGAACACGTCGAATCGCAGGCATCACGAGCGCGCAGTGCAGAACGCCCACCTCGCAGAGCGGCGGCGTGCGGAGGAGGCGCGGGTGCACGCGCAGATCGCAATGGGCGCATGGCATGACGGGCGGATTGACTGCATCGCAGGGAATGGCATCATGAGCGAGCTCGGCGTCGGCGATGAGACGTTCCACCCCGAGGAGCGCGCGCATGTTGTCGAGGCGGGGTGGTCGAGTGAGGAGAAGCAGGTTGAGGAGAATGCTGTGCGCCAGCTGGAGAGGAGCAAGGAGGGCGTGCGGGTGATCGATGCCATGCCGATTGTCATTGTGAGAGGCTTCGAGAGCAAGGGCGGGGGCGCGGGCAAAGAGGAGATGCTAGATGTGTTGGCGCGGTGGGCGGCGAGCCTTGCGCAGAACCAGGTATGTCACCATCGAGCATATCTGCTCTGCGAATGCTGATATTTTGTTATAGGTTGCCCACGTGATTGTGGTGAGCGAGAACCGCGAGAATGCGAAGAGGTTGGCAAAAGGTGTGTTGACCTACGCATACGTTCCCAGGACGACGGTCTGAACTGGACACATAGCATTGCCCTCGCAGCCGCTCAATGTTATCACGCTTTCCGACGCCGATAACTCCAGTGCACTGTCATTCGTCAGGCAGAAGCTGCGAGACAGCGGTGTTGACGTCACGTTCAACAAGGAACAGACCGCATACATACAGCGGCTCGGTGGGCGCGCGAGCGACTTGGAAAGGGTGCGTGTCCTCTCACTAATGTATACTCCGTGGCGCTGAACGAACGCAACGCAGCTCGCTCATAAGGTACGCAGCGGGCAGACCGTGCAAGCGGCGATCGAGGACATCGTCACCCGCGGCATCAGCGAGATCCGCAAGAACGCGTTCGGCGAAGACCTAGAAGATGCGAAGAACTTGCCGTGGTCCCGCGAGCAGGCGTGGGCGTTGATGAAGAAGCTCTCGCAGAAGCCGGAAGTGCGCGATCTCTCATTCATGTCTCTTGGATCCATGCTGACGCTTGTTCAATGCATGGTTAGATTCCTTACTACGACGTGTTGATGGACTTCCCGTTCAAGAACGACGAGACCGCGCTCAGGCATATGGAGCATGCTGAGCTCATTGCTATCGGTACCGAGAACGGTGGGTCCTTCCACTCCCAATTTACAGGTGTGACGCAGGTGCTGACATTGCGTAGGCCGGCCCTCGACCATAAAGCCAGGCAAGCCTGTATACAAGTACGTCTTCGAGCGGCTCGTACAAGGTCAGTAACTTGCTCGTCGTATATGGTGTCCCTGCAGCTGACAGCTGTCTAGACCCGATCATCCGTGCTACGCAAGACATCGCCTTCAATGAGCGGGTGATTGCTACCTCGGAAAGCACGATCAAGTCGTGCGAGCAGGAACTCTTGACCCTAAAAGATGTCGATGCAGGGACGGCGGACTGGATGGGCTCGCGGACGGCTGTGCTTCATCGCATGAACTACCTACTGAAGAAGATGCGGCTAGCAGGCGATAAGATTGAGATATTGGAGAAGGAGAACGTACGTTTGAGAAAGGTGCTTACAAAGTGAGCTCTGCCTTCGGTTTCACTGTATATGGCTGTTTCTGTCACACCACTCTGTTCACTTGGAGACAACATGGATGTTTTTGCTATCGTGCAACATATGCCTACGCCAATATACTAACAGTGTGAAATAAAATACGCAATGCATGAAACGTCAGCCCTGTGGATATACTACTGATATAAACGATGAACGTGTAGTGATGCGAGCCTTCAGCCCTTCGAGATGTGTGATGCGAACGTTCTACCTACCTATGATGTGACAAAAATGTAATGCGATGTGTACGTATGGCCTTCAGCCTGTGACAATCGAATCCGACAGAGCAACTGACGAGCTGAGAACAAACCCGAGGGCGAATGAAAAACATGGGATGTGACGACGATGGTTCGGAGAGTAGAGGAGGTAGCACGGAGATGAATCGATGATGGTAACATTTGTGCGACAAGACGTGAAAGAAACGGCAAGGGAGATAAATTGAAGACGTTTAACGTTTGAGGGTCCTACGAGTGGGTAGCTTCTTCACCACTCTGTCCCGTGGTGCTGCCCCGATGTTGAACACTGCTTGGCCACCAGCAGGCAAAGCCTGTGCACCACCGTAAGGCGAGCCCGGGTCGGGTGCAGCTGCGGGAGCCTGAGCGGTAGTCTGCCCAAAGTGGAACGCAGCGTTGTTCGACCCTCCAGCTGCTGGCAGACTACTGGTCGACGTGGCGGGGGACGCTGGTCGGCTGCCTAGCAACGAGAAAGAATGTGGCGCCGTAGCCGATGTAGGTGTTGAACCGAACGGGAATGATGTTGCCGCAGAAGCCCCGAAAGAGGGACTGGGCGAAGAGGGCACCGCTGGAGGTTGACCGAAGCCGCCAGTGCCTCCTGCCGATGTTGAGCGACTAAATGCAAAAGGTGCCGTCGTAGGGGCAGCTGGCTGCCCAAACCCACTTGAGCCTCCGAATGGCGCAGGAGATACGGAAGGCGCAGGGGCATCAGCAGGCTTCTGACCGAAGCCGAACCCAGAGCCGCTGGGCTGACCAAAGCTGAAGCCGGACGACGGCTTCGCCTCCTGCTTGTTCTCAGTCTTGGCTCCACCGAAGATGCTGGATGCACTCGACGATGCACCGAACCCGAATGGGGTAGTAGCGGAAGATGCACTAGGCTGGCCGAAAGGGGATGGACCGTTCGGTTGGCCAAATGAGAAGGTGGTGTTGAGCTTCAAAGGCTCCTTCGCACCGCTGTGCCCGTTCATGTCCATTCCCGCACCCCGAACGGGGCTCTCATCCATGCTGATTTCCTGGTCCTGACGAGGAGGTGTAGTG